TGTATGAAAAATACCTAGTGGTTCCAAACTTTTGCACGGTAGTGTATATGTCATGTTATCCCGAATAACATCTTTCAATGCATCAACTTTCAATTTAGAAACAATGTATACTAGAAATAGAACCTACCATCAATTCGACGAAAAAAAAATTGGCTTCAAACTTCCCAAGGAAATAGCACACAAAAATAAACTAATGACATGCATAAAATAAACAAAAAGCCTGACCGAATAACAACAAACGATGCAGTTGGTGGTGTCAGCATACACACGAAAGCTCTTCGTGGAATATTCGGTGTAACGCTCACCGAAAATGACAAGATTTATTTCACTTCTTATCACAACGCAAAAGAAATTGTGAAAATCAGACAGTATCAAGAAGAACTCTTTTTCTTTGCTTTGCTTAACCACTTCGGAGATTCTTTGTGACTTGTGAAGTATTTATATGGAGGAGAGACAAATGTGAACGACATCAATGACACGGAATGTTTGAAAATTTCACTTTTCACTCTTGAGAACACTTGAAAGTTCACCGCCAGAAAGAAAGCAAAACCCATGGATAATATATACTTGTATATATTTTTCGTTAAAGGTTTTTGCGTTTTCCGTTTCGATCATCGTTGCCGTTAGCAAAAGGAAAGTTATCCTTTTTTCTCGCTGCCTTACCATAGTTTGTCAAGACATCAAAAGCTGGATTCATTAAAGTATACGGGAAATGTAAGAGTGGCTGTGTGTATGTGTGTGTTTTTGGGACAACTGAATAACGTATTCTCTAGCTCTGTTAAATTCGTGAGTTGACTTTGATGTCAAAAATGTTTTGGCACTGAATAAATTGCCACGGAAACAGATCTCGTGTATACAAAAGCGGATGTGTTACGGGACAGCAAACAAATAAATTAGTTGTTTCAAACAGCCGTCGGCTTATGTTGCCAGGTAAAGAAATCACATCAAACAATGCCAAAAAGTTTCTTTCAACATTTTCCATTTTGCCAACGACATTATCCGCCAAGTCGTTGAGCATATCGATGGGTTGAGCTTTGAGTGGATTTCTGGTTTCAAAATCAAATTAATCGCTTCTCTTCATGTGCAATAATCAATATCAAATAGCTGAGAGACGAGCAAGATGAGCCTCAAAATTCCATGCTAATTCGATTCCAGGCTTGTCTGAAAATATTAATCAAATGGGTATGTGTGCACGTGTATGTATGTGTGTGAGCTCGAATCACATGGAAACCACAACATCAGTGTCAGCACTCATTTCAGTCATATATGTATGAGAGACATAAAGTGCTTCAGTTCGTGTAACTGTGTCAACTAATTGTAAATTATCTGAAGCGAAAATTTAAACAATCCCACAGAAATCGATGGAAAACTTTGAACAAACAATCTGAGGCTTGGTTATAACGTTCGTTGTTTCTTCGTTGTTTTTTTTTTCTGGTGTGAAACCTATACACCATAAGCGGCACATTTACTGAATCCAATTTGACACGGCAAATACATGCGAAAGTGTCGCTTCAGCATTTTTCCTTCGCTTCCATTTGCATTGCATCGCATCGCGCCACCGATTATGTGACACGAATGTAAAAAGTTTTTCACCTGATAAAATTATTTAAAATATGTTTGCCGGAGCCATGCATTACAAGCATTTCAAAATAATCAAGATACTTTGAGAACCTCAGGTAAAAATTTCTACGTTGTAATTTAATCAAGCAAATGTTTGCATTCTTGAAACAATGTGGCGCACAAGAACGTACGAGAAATTACGACGACGGAGCGCCGGGAGAATTTATGAAGTACAATATTTTTTGGCCAAAATTATATTTTCGATGACGATAAATGCGCAACATTTTCGCACACACACACACACACACACACACACAGCGACATTGACAAAGAAAGCGCGGAACAATGCGATGAGCAACAAGACTATCAGAGACTCATTTGGAGCACGTTACTCGTGAGCACAGCAACAGCAAAACACAGAAAAAAAAACATAAAGTATTGCAACCTTTGTGACAGTTTCGTGTAACTTTACGGCGTCCCCCATTCGGCTTTCCTTTGAATAATTAAAAGATAAAAGTTTTTCTTGTTTCGTCTTTTTCGAGCGTGAAATACATGGCAGTGATTTACGTCTTGAAATAATTTTTATCGGTTATTATATCATACGGAATTCGCGTCTTTTTTTCTTTCTTCATCGGAGATGAACAACAAAAGAACAGCACAACAGATTATATGCTCTAGAGAACAATAAGGTGAAGATGCTTTGGTCGTAAAAGGAAGATTTTATTTCCATGCTTCGAGAGCTCGTTCACCACGGCGTAAAGTTTTACACATCGATGCGAACGTCGCGACACGTTTGGGGGGGGGAGAGGGTGGTGACAATACCGGAAAAAGGCTAAAAAGACCAGTCATAAAAACCATCCAATAAATATCGCATGATGACACGCACCTGAACTGATTCCAATTGTTTTATTCGGCAATCCATTCCAAATCGTTTTTCATCAATGGCATTTGATGCGATTTCATTTGTTTATGCGTTGTCGACGATGAAATCGTGTCGCTTCGCTCCGTTCCATATATCCATCCATTCATACACACGACCGAAAAATCGATCGCACAATTTTCACCAGCCAATCATAATATCTTGGACGAACACACATAGTGAGAGAATGAAGCAAACGAAAAGATAAAAAAATATGTATGTTTCGATATAACCCGACTCAACAAATTTCTATTTATTTTTCTTCTCTTTCCTTTTGCGAGTAAAAGTTTTCCTTATCACGCACTTTTGATACATGATTTTTCCTTTTTTTTTCTCTCGCCATCCTCGCACTCCTTTATTCGACTCCGGCCCATTGTGTGCATTCGCATCGTAGGTGAGAAACACAATGTGCTAAAGTTTTTTCCGAAACGGCAAGATTCGACAAATAAATGAACTTGCGAAATAGAAAATCGGCACCTATAGCAAACGATTATGAAACCCATCGGAACGGTGTTATGTATGAGTTTGATCCGAGTGAATTGTGTGCGTGTGTGCCAGTTTATATTACAATATCACGTTCCGCATAACCTCAACAAATACACTTTACATATCCGTTCACAATGTAAATTGACGTGTGCCGAAGTGAGAGCGAATGGCGAGAGGAGACAGAAGAGATGGGGGAACAGGGTACAGCCGCAACCTAGATTGATAACCGTATTCAGCAACAGTAATGTATATCGCAACATCAAAAATATGGCGATGTTGTATCGTGCGGCTTATGTATCGAATGCAAAACAATTGAGCTTTCGATCTCGATTCTCGCGTTTGCACACATACAGCAGCAGCAGCAACAATAACACCAAAACCAAGCACAACAACCGCATGAATCAAGCTCGGATGGCTGTGATTTCGATATAAATATTTTTTTTTATTCTGTTTCATGCGAAATATTAGATGCTTGAGTGCGTGGCATCGCAATACCATTTAATATTCTTGCATAAAATTCAAGAGAGAGAAAAAATTAAATTGAATGGCTTGAATTTATGAAATTATTATGTTTTTGCTTCCATTTCATTTGGAAATGCCATTGGGACGTGCAACGAATGAGGCGTACGTACGCTCGCTCATGCAAAATGGAAGCAACAAAAACAACAGCAAAAGCAACAACAAAAAAACAAAGGGTTTCACATACTAAAAGCATCGAATAAAATGAGAATCGGTTAGCAGCCACAAGCCAAATTAAAAGCCATATTCTGGAAATTAGATAAGGTTTTTGTAGAACGTAATTAATGTTTAATTAGTTGGAATTAAAGATTAAATTCTGTAAAATATTACAGATTTATACAGTTGTTGTGTCTAATGCGAACGTTTTTTTTTTCTTCTCCCCTCTTTCTCTCCCTTTTCGGTTATCTAATTTTGCCTGTGTCGCAACGTTTCGGTTTTTGCAGTTAAGTCCGTATAAAATGCGAGATTCATCAATTTTCCGAAGACCAATTCGCATCATTTGATTGCGATCAATGAACGAAGCAAACGGAAAGGCTAGCGTGTATTTGCAACGGGAGGATATTCAACATTTTTCGGCATATATCGAAAAGCACATTGTGAAAGTTGAACATCGATAAGAGGGACTAAGGAGCGCGCACGCTTTCACATCCGACTACGTGCCATACGCAATGGCATACATTGTGTGGAAAATGCTACAGCCACGCATGAATCGATTCAGGCGAATTGCGTACATACATTGGTGGTATGTGCTCGTGATGCTGCTGCTGATTCAAACATTATCGATTGTTGATGGCCATCTGAAATCGACGAACGATGGCATTACCGATAGGCACGGCCAACAACGCTTCGCCATGGAACCACAAGACCAAACAGGTTTGATATAACACACATACACATATAGAGACAAAGAGACGGAAAAATCACTCTTAAATACAACATTTTTTTTCTCTACGGTCATTGCAGCAATTGTTGGGTCGCGAGTCACGTTGCCATGTCGAGTTATCGGTAAACAAGGAACACTTCAATGGACCAAAGACGATTTTGGCCTAGGATGGCACCGCAATTTGAGCGGTTTCGAACGCTATACCATGATTGGCAGCGATGAAGAAGGAGATTTTTCGTTAGGTATGCCACAAATGCGACCGGATTTATTTTTATATATACACTTGGATTCCGATGTGTATGATGATTTTGCATTTCTCATATGTGTCCCGTTTTTGGTTTTGTTCTTTGCACGTGTAGATATTTACCCAGTAATGTTAGACGATGATGCTCGATATCAATGCCAAGTGGGGCCCGGACCACAAGGTAAACGATTCATTTTTATTGAAAGCCAGAGACAATGTGTGCTTTTGTCCGCAGATTTACTGATTAAAATAAATATTTCAGGTCAACCAGGCATTCGATCAAGATTTGCAACAATAACTATATTAGTGCCACCTGAACCGCCACGCATTCTTCAGGGCGACCATCTGGTAACGACCGAGGATCGTGAAATCGAATTGGAATGTGTGTCGGTTGGTGGGAAACCGGCAGCAGAGGTAATTTAGTTTGATAGACTCGTAATCGATTTCAAAACACCAAAAACGCATGAGGCTTGCACAATTGCTGCGAGACAAAAAAAGAACAGAGATAGTGTACGACATTTTAAAGGCAATAGACAGACAAGCGAGAGAGAGAGAGAGAGAGAGACAGACAAGAGAGAGAGAGAGAGAGAGAGAGAGAGAGAGAGAGAGAGAGAGAAAATACCATGAAGCTTTGGACAAAACGACACATTTGCTATGTTCATTCTAAATGGCAGAAAATCATTAAAACAATTCAACCATGAATACTACCACTCACAATCGCTACTCTGCTCCGTTGCTGATTTTTCCGCGAAATATCCACAGAGCCATATAGTCGCACTCTCTTTTGGTCCTTTTTCCGGATGTAGAGGTATTCTGTTCACAAAATACGCGTGCGATTATTGAATATTGCCGCCAAACTATCGTGATGCTTTTGCAATGTTGAACATGTACAATGTTCCATTAACAGCAAGTGGGGCGATAAAAACGGAAGCGAGACTAAAAACCCAAAAGCAAAGAACAAAATTGAACTCATTCAATTCCGAACGATGCAAAATGTCACTCGGTTACATTGTATAGACCTGTATATCTCACTCTCTTTTTTCTCTTTCTCTCTCTCTCTCTCTCTCTCTCTCTCTCTCTCTCGCTCGCATACCTATTCGAAAGTAGTTTTTGGAGAACAATACTGTTAAAAATACTTTCGAAAAAATGCCTATTCACAAAATTTCCACGGCATCGGGAACAAAAACAGCGAGCGTGAGAGAGAGAGACAAATGGCTAGAGAAATGAAAGCGAGAGGAAAAAAATGTCAGACTCATATTTTATACACTTGTAATGTGGCTGCTATGCACACAATCGATGTCTCATGTCAATATGATTCCCGGGCATGTGTGAATGTAGATGCGGTGCAGCCAAAGCGTAGAACTAGAACGACCAAAAAGAACGGCCCATAAAATATCGAAAAATACAAATACCGACACATTTTCTACTGACTTGCTATTTTCATTTGGTCGCTTTTTTCAGCTTTCGCCTCAACTGCATATTCATACAGTTTTTGTGCCATCGACGTCGTTGTTCGGTGGCTCAAATCGGTTTTCCATTCTCCCTTTGGCTTTTTCTCTTCTCTATCGTACACATTTTTTATGAGCGTATTTTTTTTTTCGTTCTTGTTTCATTGTTAATTCGATCGACGCGGCATAAAACATAGATAACGTGGATCGACGGTTTGGGAAACGTTTTAACAGCCGGCATTGATTATATGAAAGAACCATTGGCGGATTCAAGACGCGTAACGGCCAAATCAATTCTAAAGTTGACACCGAAAAAGGAACATCACAATACGACGTTCACATGCCAAGCACAAAACACGGCAGATCGAACGTATCGCTCGGCAAAACTCAAGCTCGAGGTAAGTACTACTTGACTGTGTCATCACTTTTTTTTTTTTTCTACCATGAAATAGAGCGCCCATTTTTTTTACCCATCAAAATTAGGGCAAACATTTTTTATTCGCAATTTTTTTTTTCTTCTGTTCATTGCATTTGATTGACGTAATCGAAACTGAAGTTATGAAAAGGAAATATTGAATCAATATTCGGATTCTAATTTCAGATTTTCCACAAAAACCATTCAAATTGCTAATGAAAATATTCATGACATTCCAGCAAAAACATTCGTTGAACTTTTGTTAGCATTGTTTTTATGGATAAAATTGGAAATCGTCTTCTTTTTTCTTACTTCGATCGTGTACCATTTAAGCAAACGACATGAATTTAAATGCTAATTGAAACATGTTTCCGAAACAGATCAAATACTATCAGAATACCGAAACGGCATATTGATTGACTTTTAGCTGCTAGTATTTGTGTTCGTTTCGATATAGGTGGGAGGGAGGAGGTGGAAAAAACATTTTTCCTTCGAATTGCCAAAGAGCATATATAGTAGTCAATGTTGTTGCCAAAGAGATAGCAGAAAATTTGTTGGGCAAACATAGTATCGTTTTCATGTCTTTGAAATAGACTAGTCTAAGCTTGGAATGTACTTTGAACTGTGCTCAACTCGCATTTCTAATTTGAATTTGGCAAAATGTAATTTGTCCGTATGCTTTTGTTGTTTTTTACAGGTTAAATATGCTCCGAAAGTGTCGATTTCCGTCATTGGAGAAAGCAGTCTGCCCGGTGGTCGCATCGCTGAAGGCAGCGATGTGCGATTTTTGTGCCGTGCCGATGCAAATCCACCAAACGTTTCGTATCGATGGTATATTAATGAGGAACTTGTTGCCGGTGACTATACAACTGAAATGGTAAGTTTCAATCGAAAACTGAATTCGCACACGAGAAATGCATAAATATGAGCTTATGTTATATGACGGAAAATGAGTATGCAATTTGAAAGTCAACGATCCAAATGTTTACTGAAACTCCATACTCTCTGTTCTGTGTCCCTCTTCGTTTTCACTGCAAATGCATACACATGCGGTTTGATCGACTGAAAGCAACCGATGCACACGTGAAATGTGCATTCGTTCCGTAAAATTCCTCCGTAAGCTATGCAGTTGGTAAAATCCAACACATGATGGCAAAATGAACAGCGGTCGCACCAATGTCCCCATCGAAGTGGAAGCAAGTAAAATGGCCTGAATAATAAGAATATCGCAAATTTTTACCTCAAATAGGTGTATACAGATCGTGCCAAAGGTTGAATTTAAATGTCGTCTCCGGCACTTCCATTTGAAATTCAAATTAAAATTTTTCTCTCTTTCTCTTTACTGTCGTCATTCCATTTGTATGCACTCTCGAGTTTTCGACCCCAGCACATGGTTTGCTCGATGTGTATCAGTGCATCGGTGTGCTGTTGGATCGGAGGGTTGAATCGTTTCGAAATTCGTTTCGGCCGGCTGTTGAAGTGATTTGCATTCGTTTGGCAAAAGTGTACAGTGTCAGGCATTTCATCACAAGCTGTTGAGTCAGCTTGCATATAAATGTTTGATTAAAAGCCAAAAAGTTTTCATAAAACGTTGTAAACGGAGAGAGATAAAAGTGACTTTTCAGCTTTGTTCACCTTTTCCCGATCGAAATGGTATTTTTTATGCATGACGGAAAATCACTTTTGATACTTTATCTATGACATTTTGCGTGGCGGTTTGACACAAACACCGAGATGCACATCAACAGACATAGACAGAGAAAGTGAAATAACTCTTAAATACATTTCACCCTTTGCGATCGCCACACGTTTTCCGTTTCAATTAGCCACATTTTCAAGCTCATTTAGAACATTCATTTCCTCGAAACAAGTTTCCAACATAAATGGAAATTACACATCGGTTTTGCTCGGAAGCAAGCGTTCTAATTCATTTTCGAAGTTTGTCTTGCATTTCAATTTTAAAATTGTCGGAAATGCGCTCTGATTTTATCTTTTTCGTCTCGTCTGTCCATTTGCAGGTAATTCCAAACATCACTCGAAAATACCACGATGGAATGGTCAAGTGTGAGGTGCACAATGCAGTTGGCAAGAGTGAAGAGAGCGAAGCGCTCGATATTAGCTGTAAGTATAATTTAATACCGCAGTATCAATCTTCATTAAGCCAAGCATGCAAGTTCGACACGTCAAACTGAAATTCTGTGTCAATTCAATGGTATTCTTACAGATGGGCCGGTGTTCAAAACGCAACCCAAATCAATTGAAGCTGATAACGGAGCGACTACTACCCTGACATGGTAAGAGTCGATTCAATCAATTAAATAATTTATAGATATAATTATTGGTACAAAAAAGTGGATAAATTTTTTTTTCTTGTCGCTGTTTCTTTTCTTTTTTTTGGAATTTAGTGTCGTTCTGGGCAATCCGCCGCCGGACATACTCTGGGTACATGGCAATATCCCAAACGATAAGGTTAGTGTATACGAAAGGAATGTTGGTCAAAACCACGGAAAATCATCAAATAATCAATGGAATGGTTTTTTCATCATTTTTTTTTCTTCAGGTCGTTGGTGCTTCGACAAATCTAACAATAACCGTCTCGCCCGAAACAGCTGGCAAATACATTTGCAAGGCCAGTGTTGTTGGTTTCCCCGAAATATCGGCGATCGCCACAGTTTTTCTAAAAGGTCCCCCAACAATCACATCGGCTCGACGACAGTATGGCATCACTGGTGTCAATACGAGGGTCGAATGTACAGCATTCTCCGTGCCCAAGGTAAACATTTCACTGTCTGCTCGGATTTTTGTTTCTGTTTTAACTTCTTGATTGGAAAATATTGTGTTTTTTTTTCATTCGTTCTTTTTTTTCTGCTCAACCAAAAAACACATACACTTAGGCAAGACACGTGTCGTGGACGTTCATGGGTCATGAAATCAATCCGAAGAACAATCAAGATTATTCAATTATTGACGAAGCAATGCCAGAAGGCATTAAATCAATATTGATGATAAAGGAGAGCCAATCAAAACATTTCGGCTCTTATAATTGCACCGTGGTTAATGAGCACGGCAACGACATTCTTGAAATTGAATTACTTAGACAAGGTAAACACGGAATCGAATGTGCTTCGAATTCGACTAAAATGTCGGATCGAATCGACCTGAGATAAAACAGTGCAGTCATTAAAACAAGTCAAACGAAGTAGGGAAATATCTAATTTTGGTTTTTTCCAATTTTTTTCTTCTTCAGAAACAAGTCCAGTATTGAGTATAATTGTTGCATCTGTATCGTTTGTTATAATCATTTTAATTCTGGTAGTGTTTATATTGTTTTGCCGACGGACAAAAAAGCGTCTGAAACCAGCTGATGTCATTCCAGTGGTAAGTACATGTTCAAAACATAATACCTCAAATAAAATCATTCATTCAAGAGAGAGAACAATTTGAGAATGAAATGCTTTCAATTTTCTTATCAAATATTTCTCTTGAACATGCAATACTAGAACGATAAGAATATTAACCAAAAGGAATTTAAGGGTTGCGAACGCACAACGAATTTGATAAATGAGACAAAAATTGACATCCGAAACGATTACGCACACACAACGGTCGATGGCAGTAATATGATGACGCATATTCCGGATGGCAGCACTTACAATACAACAGGCAGTGTAATTGGCCCACTCGGAGGCGTTGCAGCGCAGTACAGGTACACATTTTCATTCTGGCCAATACCAATTTCCATCTAAAATGACTTGTGTGTGCAGTGAATCATTTTCCTTTTCATTTCCATTCCATTCCATTGCAATGATAGATATTCGGGTGACTTTACGGATACTGGTCAAACGAAAACCGGCCAAAATAACAATGGCTACGTTGCAAATGCAGCCGATTATAGTCCACCATCACAGTCGACGTTACTATTGAGAAATGGCAGTAGTAATACAAGTAGTGATACCACATATTATCCAAACGGTCAGGTGCCGAGTGTGAATTCAACATTGACGCGAAACAGTCGATCGACAACCGTCGATTCTCGACAAGATGTTGGCTTGCCAAATGTACATGGCAGCTTTAATTCACTACAAAATAGTATTTTAAGTGAGTATAACAGTAGTAGTGGTAGCAATAGCGAACGCATTTTCCAGCCCCGAGACACAGGGAGCGAGGAAAATTCGATAGCTCTTAGCTATGCAAATTCACATCGACTACTTCATTCTAATGAGTTTTTCTTTCTATTCTTTTTTCTCCATTCTCCAATTCCATCCGTCCGCCCATTCCGTTCGTTCGTCGCTTTTTTCGGGTTGGCGCTTTGAATTGCAAATCAAAAGGTCAACAACCATTGCTTCAGAATGGTTTAAATGTAGATTTACGATATCGTGCCACATATGCTAATCCATTTTTGCGAACGTCGAATGCATCGCTGCCGCCTTTACCACCGCCAAGCACAGCGAATCCAAGCGCTACGCCTGCTCCACCTCCATACAATGCAACACGTAACACAGCTACAACTTCCGGCATTGTCAGTAGTAGTACAGCATCGATAAAAGCTCCACTGCCAACGTCATCCAGTCCATCGGGTCAATTTATATTGCCAGCTAATGGACATTTGAAAAAAGGTGCTCTTGCAACGCATGTTTAATTTAATTGACTCATTGCCACACGTTTTCACTGCGACGCATTTATCCATACACACACACAATGGTGATGATTCGATGCGAAACAAACACGGCACTAGATCAAAGTGTTTTCATCTTATCTCTCTGTACACACACACACACACACACATTCTCTGGCAACATACAATCCTCGCTCTGGCTAACGGACAAAACCACTCAGTGTCGTGTTGATGGAAAATAGCCAAGCTCTATATACAAACGTTGTTCGATGTGTGTGTGTGTATGGTCCATTGTACGCGCCTTTCCTTCCTTATTGCCATATCAATTTACAATCAATGCCAGAACAAATATGTTCAAAGGCAGCAGCCAACTGGCTCGATATGGCTTCAAATGATAGTGATTAGAAATGAAGGCAAATGGCATGCTTCCGTGAATTCACCGAGCAAGCCATGTCACACCATTGGCACTCAACAGCAGCATGTATTTGGATGAGCGACACAGCACCGAATCGATCTATCTACACGGCCAAAACAGAATGAAGGAGAGAAAACACCAAGGTGAAAGCAACATAAAAATGCAACGGTGACCAGAGAATCATCGAAATCATTTGGATAATCATGTATTGTGTCATAGTGAATTTTCTATTCATTGTTCTGTCGATTTGTATCGCTTTCCGGAATCGGTTCATTCAACGTGACTATCACCCAAATCGCTCGAAACTCGAATTGTGTAAATCAAATCTGTACGTATCGACTGATTTTCATTTTTAAAATTTATCATTCGAAACTACACGAATCCAATGTGAAAACACGCCGGTAAAACGTGTGTACTCAAGTTAATATCAATCGTTCGTTTGTAAGAGAAAACATATACTATAGATGTAGTGCAAGCAAAGATACTGATGTGGAAAAGGTGAGAAATCGTTCTGTAAATATATGTCAAATTGCGTCGGGCAAAGGTAAATACAGTAGTGAAATTTGTTTAAATTCTATGCAAGAGAACAAACATTGGATTTACTGACTTAGCAAAGCGTTTATTAGCTAAAATTTGTAGAAATCAATTGCTAAAACACAAAAAGTACCGATTCAATAGGATTGTAAAAGTGGCGGTCGATTTTTTTTCTCGTTGATAATAAAAATTCCAATGACCGTCATTCTATTGAATTTAATCTACGTTTTGTTTCTTACGTTGAACGATGAAAATGGGGCCTTAATATTATCGAAATGAAATGAAAAAATAATGAAGATGAGAATACTTAAATTTAAATTATTATTATCATATCTATATATCAAATCGATTGCCAATTGAATGAGACAACAACAAAAAAAAAAAATGCTTGAAATTGTGTAAATACTTAATGGAATTAAATTAGATATTAATGATACGACTCGTATCATACGAGCATACACACACATTTATGACAGACATTTAAAAAAAATCAATATGCTTTTACTAAACGTATTTTTATCCCTTCGGAATGTAAATCATTTGAAGGACAAAAAAAAGAGAGAACGTGACAAAACCAATTTATAATAATGAACATTTACGATTTACCACTAGTTTTAACAGATCGAATCGATAACAAGAATATTACCAAAGAAATTTTATGAAACATGATTTTAAGTTATCAAAGAAACCGAAAAACGAAGATGGATAAGAAGAAAAAGAAAAAAAAACTAACAAACACACATATGAAAAGTTCTATATGGTTCTATTTGAGTGAGGAGTATTTATTGCATGGTTTAAAATAAGGGTCAAAGTTTGATTGGTCAAATCAACGGTCAAACACTTAGCAAGTTACAGCAAATAAATGAATGGCTATAATTTACCTGCATTTTCTTTTGGGGAACACAGATCAAAAAACAACACAATTTTGTAATGTAAACCCGCATTTGAATTTCCGCATTCCCATTGCAATAGAGTATATAAAGTGAAACGGAATCTGAAAATTATTTCCCATATAAATTTGCCCCATTCTCCTCAAGCCAATGTATGTATGCAAGTGTCCAATAGTTAGTCTCGAGAATTCCTTTCAAACGCACAACCAAATTCCTTTCGCAAATCAACTTCATTCATTCCATTAAACTGAGCATACCAGAATCATCTCCGATCGAGTACTATATAGCATTCGTGTCAACAAACACACACACACACACAAAACACATTCTTGGTCCATTCGCATTTATTTTAAAATTAACATAGTTCCATAAATTGACATATTAAATTCCATAAATTATCAACATTATTCATTCCTTATTCCTTTGCTCTTAAGTTTTAAACGACTAGTAGGATTTTCGATTTTTTTTAGTGTCACAATGTTAAAAAGCCTTGAGCTTTAGTTTTCTGAATGGAAGATAAAAAGAAATCAACTTGACGGAAATTTTGAGGTTTAGTTTTCTCTTGAATTTTGAAATATTTTGTTTTTCACAATTTTATGGGACGAAGAAATACGTAAAAAAAACAATATAGAGTCGGTGACGAATGAAATATCCATGGTAATTTAGTCGAAACATATTTAATCAGCTGGACGGAAGTGAATCATTGAGCTTTTCATAGTAACAAAAAAAAAATCTATAAGAAAAATGTATGTCAAAATCTACCAAAAAATAAAAAGAAAAATCAATTCATGTGACTGTTTTAAAACAACAACAAAAAATTAAATTGAAATCTAATGATAAGATTGTTTTTAAAATAAAAAAACTAAAAATGAGAAAAAAATGTTATTGTATGCTGTACCTAGCTAGTTTTATCAAAGGAGAGAACATCTTAGATTTATCGCGAAATTGTAGACGAATTCAAGCAGTATAAACCATAATATCAATCTAGTGAAGATCATGTGTTAGAAGGCATATTGTTAAATCTCTAATAGAGATGCTCTATTGAAAGCAAAACACAATGCAAACCGAACGGAAAGAAGAAAATTCAATCAGATCGATCGAGAGAGAAGAAAAAATATTTGGGAACAATTTTTTTGTTCTGCAAATCGAATTGGTTCATGTACATATCGTATTTCTAAAAGTAAATTTAACTCAAAGTCAATTTCGTAAATTCAATTGAGTTTAGCCATAGCTAACGTGTGCACTGTAAATTACGCAATATCTACATTGCAATCGTTTATTGAATGATGAGATAACAAAAGAAGAAAAAAATCCAACACGCTGATTGAAAACCCAAAATCATGCCTAATTGAACATACACACTGCAACAAAATGAAATAACAAAAAAAAAACACATACACTAATATTAACTGTAACTTAATGTTTAAAGAAAAAGTCAATGACATGTCAATTTTTTATATTGTTTTTCGTTTTCTTTTATTCATTTTTGGATGATCTTTCAATATTTTCAATATTTCTAGACGAAAACATTTTTAACGATAACAAATTAAACAAACAAAGAGAAAAAAAACCATAAGAATTCGGATTTTTGATAGATTACATGTCAATTGTGAGCAATAAGAAATAATCAGATTGGAAAAATTGAAGAAAACACTACAAACGATGCTGTCTAAAAATTCCCATTCAATCATAACAATGCTGATTATTTGGACAACAAACACATATTGATAAAACGATTGAATCGTCGTTGAAAAAAAAACTATCATAATCGATGAGATTCATAACTGGTTGAAATTCAAACAGTGATATTTGCATTGGAATTGTACAATTCAATTAAAAATCCATAAGGCTCGGTGTCAATTTTAATGTTTTGAAATGCTTTCATTTTTGCTTTGAGCGGTGTCCTTTTTTCCCTCGAACTCCACGAACTCAACAATATATTAAAATTCATTTAAAATGTGCAACGATGATGATTTTATTGTTGCACAAATCAATAGTTCTTATGTATCTTTCTCTCATTTCGAATGATTCTTGTATTTGTAACAGAGCATCGAAGTGTAAAGAAATCATGGTAATGTTGTCACTCCAAATAAACACAGAAAAAACCAAACAAAAATTAAAAAATCTTCCAATAATTAAAATTCAATGAAATAAAATGAAAAAAACGTTTCAAACAGGCCAATATATTCCGATTCACAGGAAAAATTCAATTAAAATGGATGATCAAAACAGTCGCTGTAGGGCTTGTTCCGAAAATTCCATTCAATACTCGAGAATCAATGAGAATTCAAGAAAAAAAAAAGTGTATGTAATACGAAAATTTCACGTTTTTTTAAGGAAAATGAAAAAAAAATTCAATTAATTTTATGAGTTTGAACAATGCTATTGACAATTGAAATTCTTTTTGTCTCTTTTTTTGTAAAGAAAAAATCAGAAAGTTTTTTTGGAAAAAAAAAATAATAAAATGATATTGAAAAATAATCGAGTACACGCACTATTATTTATTGCTCTTGATAAATTGACGTATTCATCGGCACAAATAAACATCATCAATGGCGCAAGTTTAATACTCAAGATGAATTAGTTTGTTGCAATTCTGCGAAAGGTTTTTTTTTTTGCGACGTTGTCTCTTCTCCTCTGCAATGTTTGTTCGATAATTTCATAAATGGAAGCGACATACTGTGTGTTTCCAGGTAAAGCGCACTAGATAATAGGTAAGTAGGACAATTCTCCGTCATAAGTGGAATGCACTTAAACTCTTCCTCCCTATCAAATTGTTTGCAATGGTGGCTCTTGCTGCCACATCAATTGCGACCGAACGCATTTGATTCAGTATCGTTATGACAGCTCAACTGTTATGGCTTACCTGGTCCCGTTTGGACGTGGCAAGAGCTTTAAAGCACTTCATCAAACGCCCAACGTTCCAATTGTAAGTATTTGTTTGGAAATTATTCTTGTGCACTCCCTACCACAGCACGTGACACATCTGTCGAACCTAATGATACTTAATTAATTGATTGTTTTTTGATTGAGTGTATTTTATGTGTTTGTTCCTTCGATTCGATCTCAAATATCGCAATTATTATTGTAGCGATTCCGTTACGGTTTCTGAAGTTTGCCGAAAAAAGCGTGTTCAGAAGTCTGATTCACCAGTGCTTTTACAATGATTTTTGTTTGAGTTCACCTGCGTACGAATATGGTGTGCGGGTTGGTGGGCACTTATAATGGGAAATGAGTATTTGTGAACTTGATTGCCACTTTGCGTGTCAATGCGTATGCCATTATAATGAGTGAAAATGAAAACGATCCGAATTCAATATGCTTGTTCGCCTGCCACAGGTGTAACGTATAATAGCAGAATGTGTGTCTGAAATCAGATTCTTATTCATAGGTCGATTGTGTTCGTTTGGAATGAATACATCGCGCACACATACACGTCATAACCATCATAAATAGTGATTAGTTGATGAAAAGACACTCAATTTGAATGGAATTGAGCGGTGGCGGAAAGTTTCTCGACCATTATTATTGTCGAAAACCAATACAATACCTTTAATATTTCAAGTGGGCCAAACAATTCGAAGCTAATCTAGGCAATCCAAATCGCATTATATTAATATTAATATTGACTCGGTAATTTGATTTAAGTAAGGAAAAATATTGCATCGAAGGGGATCACGAATGATTATCAACCATTTATTAAAAATTCTGTCCTTTCATGTTCAATTCATCTGTTTGTGAAGCAGTGTTTCGTTTAAGAATTCATTTTCAACAAGCAAAAAAGAACTGATGGAACAGAAACCGTTCGAAAATTCAAGATTCAGTTGTCAATGGAAATTATTTATAGACTCATCGGTACATAAAATCCTTTCTTATTCATCGATAAAACATGTTGAGCAACAAGTAGCTATATGTATATGTGATGGAATTTCCAACGAAAATTCAGTTGCTGGATATCAAAATCAATTTCCGCGAACGAAGACGAAGCACACACAAACAATGAAAAATGACAGAGGGTTTCTCCCTTGATGTGAAATTAATACAGAGTACAGACAACGTGGAACGCATTATCCCTCTATTCGGTTTCATTCAATCATACATTAACCTATATTCAGCTCTATTTTTGGAGTATACACCGAAACGCTCATTCCGTCAGCCAAAAATGTTTGTTCGATAAATTATTTCGCATTTTTTCGTATCCCTTTCATTCGTGTATCTAATAAATAAACATTTACATGCATTCGCTACGTTGTTCACAGCGCCATTTTGCATAAATTTTCTACCCAGCACTTTCGAGTTTTAACATTCATTCCTTTGCATTTTGTTGAGGGTTTCGAACGTTTCTTTTTTGGTTAATAGCTCAGTGAATTGGTGTGTGTAGTGACAAAACTGATTCAAAATGAAATGGAATTCATCGTCATTTTTGGAGAATCGAACCTTCGACCAGCGTCTGGTCAAAGAAAATCTCATCGACAAGTGGAACATCTACGGTGATATTTACAAAACTCGGACCGACTATCGGCAATTCTTAGAATCTTATGTAATTAAAATTTGATTGAAATCATTTCTCTTTTGAGTTTTGATAATCAAATTAGTTCAAGAAAATTTATTTGATTTCTCTTGTTCTGCATTTTAATTTTAACAACAGCAAAATTATTTGAATAGACTTAAAACGTTGTTATATTATATGATAAGCACATTTTTCTAAACAAGCAAAGAATTCGATTGAATTTTTCAATTTCTAAGTGATACTACATTCCTCTAAAATTCAAACGTGTCAAGAAAAAAAATCTCTAGATATCGAAATGTTGTTTACAATGTCAAACTTTCTGGCCAAACATTTTGTTCAATCCATGCCAAATACGGATAGATACGGGTAAATACAAGAGGAACTTTCAACAATCCCCATGTTGGTTTAAAGTGAGACAATCCGATAATGGTGTACATACAGTGGTCATTGTTTTGAATTGCCTGCAGTGGAGCGCCATCAAGTACCTGAAAATCCAAAATAAACTTTTAATTCAATCCAATCACTTAAATAAATTGATTGACATTTTGCCAAACCTCAAGTGGTCGAGGCATTTTGAAGTATCTCTGATCGTCCTCCATAATGATTGTTGCGCAGATTTGTGTGTTAGTTATGCCTTGTAACATTCCTTTGATGTCATGTGGCCCAAATATCTTTTTGCATTCTTCGAAATCAATTGGATTCATGTTGTATTTGCGCAGCGTCATGTCTTGCTTATAACGCAACGATCTTGGTACGCTGTACAATTTAAACGGCCAGCCAGTCATCGATACAGTCTGTTCGGCTATTTCAAACATTTGAGGCAAACAAGCTGGCCGAATGTGCAAACCAAATTTGACCGATTGTTGCAGTTGAACCAAAGCTAAGTTATCGTACAGCGATTTCTTCGTGTATTTTGGGTGCAAAATAACTTCAGCGATTTTCACATTCAACGGCTTCAAAATTTCTTTATTCGATCCATAGTTAAAATCGCCCAATCTGACATGCGTTGCCTCTTTCCTAAGATTGAATAAGATTTTTTTTTTTTTCTAGCATAACACAATTTTCAACAGACCGTTTTCATATTTTGATGTCAGAAAATTAGCCACGTTCATGTGAAACGGAAAAATTTCGTCAATGAATAAATGAAAATGTGAAATTTGATTGACTCACATGAGGAATACAAAACCACATTCTGCCAAGGCCAACACGTAGTCATGTGAAATCAAAACACCTGTACAGAACCATTCTATGTGCGAATGATGTGTAGTATCTTTCTCCGCTCCCAACAATGCCTAGAAAAATGAACCAAATCACACAATGCCAATCAATGACCAATTCAAATCGTTTGTAATTCGATTTGCACGGTTTATATTCACTCACTGTGTGTGGAAATTCATTGGCAACGGCGGGACGATAGCCCAACAGTGGCGATACTCGATGATGACAGTTCCGTGAATGTGGTGTTTGACTAAATTCTGTGCACTCTGAAAATTAACACAATGTATGTGAGTTGGTTTTTCTCTCTTCGGTTTGGTTTCATTTTTTCAATACTTTTTGCACTGATACCCTCCGAAGCGACACTGCCGATGAATGCAATGAATAGTAGGAAATAGCCACATGGCTTCATTTTTTTTACGTGATTTACAAGTTTTCTATTTGATGTTTTTAATGTTGATTTGAATCGATATTTCTGTTTCTATTGCTTTCCCAAAAAGATTTGAAAAGAGAAGTTTTTCTCCAAGAATGAACTACGCCACTGATATATATACCAATCTATTTCACTTCACATTCAATTGACGACTGATTCTTCGGTACTCAAATGTTCCACTTTCCCGACACCACGAGTCTAAACAATTAATTTTTTAAATACTATCGAATGATTGTTTTCAAATGCACTTTCAATTCCTGTGCAGATAATTCACATGCCAGATGGCAAAATTCAGCCCGTTATTGATTTTCATCGTTTAAAACAAAACAAAGCCGAATCAAATAAATAATTACAGAGTATTTTTTTCGCCGTGCTATCTATTGTACGATTCAAAAACGGCCAATCATCATAAATCGAGGGGAGTTGAAATGGGGTTGAAAATGAATTTTTGAATTCAAATTCTCCAGAAAAACATCAAAATCGATTTGAAACGCATTATAAATTGAATTTCTGTTTTTCTTTGGACAATTTTATTTTTCAACGTAAAAACTTATCTATTTCTGTAAATAGCCATGGATAAAGCAATATGCGTCAACTGCCTCTGAAACCACAATGGATCCAATCAATGCTATTCGGTCCGGAATGCTATACCAGGTTGAAACACCCTTAAAAATGCAAATGATTCAAATAATTAACGGCTAATGCCGTTCAATGTATTTAGGTGCCTCATCATCATCCATGGCCGGATTCGAATGCATTGGGCGAAGCTCCCACAACGAGTCAAGTGTTGGACACAAATTTCGCGCCCACAGGTTCAATAGCAGTAGAATTTATCCGAGTGTATCGTTTTTAATTGGTGTCTAACATTTTTAGATCTCTCAAGGGAGCCATTGCAATTTCCCAACCTTGTGAATGGTTTCGATCGAAATCCCGAGCATGCGGCTCGGTCAGCATTGTATACGCGTTACACTCCAGCCGAATGGCATAAATCCTGCATGACACTCTACGGTGAATCCGATGTTAATCGTCAACAATCTGAACGGCTTCGTAACGATGCCGTTCGTTTGATGCGACAAACCGCAGAGAAAACGGTACAAGGGCAACGTGAGGCCGGAAGACGCTTGGGCGAACGATTGACTGATCTCACGTTTTGGCGCAATGAATTAAGCATCGAATTGGAAAAGGTCATCGCTGAATATTCACTGTTGGCCGATATGAAACGACGCACGACTAAAGCATTGGAAGATCTTGATCCACCGCTCAAAGTCACCGAAGAGTGTTTATACTTTCGCGAAAATCGACAAGGTGTTGAAAAAGTGCACGATATCGTGGAGAAAACTCTACTGAACGAAGTGAAGAATATCCGAAATGCTCAGGAAAATTTGAAGCAATGCTTGGAGCAGGTCAATATTCGTTTGAATTTTTTTTTTATAGTCAAATTGCACATGAACAGGAAAAGAATATAATTTATTCAAGGTAAATATTTACACATTCATCAAATAGATCAATAAATTGCTATCAGACTTGCGTGCAACCCAACATTCGCTGGAAGAAGATATTATTTACAAAGAAAATACGCTTGGCATCGATACCATATGCCATAAATTGAACAATTTCAGTCGCGGCATCAATTATTACAGTGGCATTGAAAAGTACGATCCAACCGTTAGCACCATTGAAATGTGGACACAAGCCAGCAACGTTCGAATCAACAAGTAATGTTGTTTTTTTTTCAACTGCAATTGAACCAATATGAAATAGAAAATACTTGACGATTGGCTTGCATGCAAATACTTCAATGTTATTGTTAATTTCTAATTAGGTCGCAATCAGTTCGTGCTTCATCAGCACAGTTAAGAAGTTCAGCTGAGGCCCTGATAAACAGTATCAACAGTGCAGTTTGGTCGTATTGGAACGATTCGAACAATGCCTTGAACAAACGCGCTTCGGATATGTGCGAAGCGAAGAATTCCATTCAACTTCACCTGCACAAAACACAACAAGAAATATTCGATATTGAACGTAATATCGATTTGATACGAAGGGCCATCCAAGAGAAATCCAATCCACTGAAAGTGGCTCAAACACGATTGGAAGCTCGCGGTCATCGAGCAGGCATCGAACAGTGCAAGTACGATTACTTCATTTTATTCATAATTACTATTTACCATTTTTTATTTCAACGTGGTAGCATTTTTCTAAATCCGTTTTTGTCAATTATCCAATTCGTTGCAGAGATTTTGCCTACGTTCAATTAATTCAAGAAGTGGGTGAAATTCAAGATTCCGTCACCGTATTACATCGAAAACTACAAGAAGCTGAATCGCAACACCAACAACTGCTCAAAGTTAAATCCAACTTAGAGGCTGATTTAAAGAGAAAAGTTAATGCGCTATTTATTGATCGTGAAAAATGCATGGGCATTCGACGATGTTTTCCCGTTGAAAGTTTAATGAAATATTAAATGACTTTGCAAACTCTTCTGAACATTTACTATGAACTCTTCTGAACATTTACTATGATGTTGTTATGCACCAAATGTTATGTACAACAGTGAATGAAAGCAAATACAATAGAGAAAATAAACCTAACATCAGAAACAGACCGAAAAACACGATAAAATCAAATTTGAAATGTCTTCGTGTTGTCTTTGAATTTCCCATTAAATTTTCATACAAATTATGATAGGACTATCATTATCAAACGTAGTGTGATTGCACTTAATACGAGGCCACATTAAGTGTTGTGAGGTTAACTGACAGAGTGAAAGGACATTTCTTTAACGTTGGAGTCAATAATAATGTAGGATCGTAAGATACTGATCATGACATACTTTGATAAATATTGCCTATAAATAAGAAATAGATAAAATGTATCGCTTCAGTCTTGTAATAAAGCAATGCCTAAACCCTTTCTTTTAGGTCACCCATTGTTTGTCATTTTCATAAAAAAACATAACAAGTAGTCACTAATATCCCAAATTTCCACGGCATTACAATTCCTCGAAATGTAAATTGTATAGTACAAATTGGAGTAGAAAAAATTGTTCATTAAATATGTATGGTTTAAAATATGTAGTACTTTTGAGGGATTCGATTGTATTCGATTGTTGGGAATATTTGGAAAACCAGCACCGATAATGTTTTACACAAATTTTGTTTCTCACAGGTAAAATCAATAAACTATTGCTCAGTTGTAGTAACAAACATAGTATATTTTCACTTGAAAACAAAATGAATCAAATTAAGCAAACAGCCATTTAAATAAATGCGTAATTCATTTGAAAACAATCTTTTCTGATCTGTTCATCTCTATCAATCACAAATAAATTTTTGAAAGAACATCAACACTTTTGTCCTTTTTATCCACTTTGTCCAATTACAAGGCTCAATAGTATGAATTATTCCTCGATTGTTCTAAGACGGGAAATATGCCTTCTTCTAACTTTTCGCTTCACAACTGCACTAACGTGCTGATCCGCTCTCGTCCAAAATTGATTAATTTGTTGCATCAAACAGGCATCGCGCACTTTAGGAAATTAAAGAAGAAAAAATTAAATTTTATCGGTGATCTGAACAAAAAAAAAACATAGATCAAAGTTCATAAGAAAACTCGATAAATGCATTTGTGAACGTTCGCTCATGAACGAAACATTTACCGAATGAGAAAATGTATATCCATGCCATCAAAGGCAAATATGTGTGTATCTTTTGTTGTAATTGTAGACCTGACGTAGAGTTGGTGATGTCATTACATATCAGCACTGGCACTGAATAACTTAACAGAATTATGATGAACGAAATTAATCCAGTTTTTAAATTAGTGAAAACACTGTAACGCCTAAAAAGACTGATCAGTTCGTGTTGCTTCATGTCTTTACCGTCATCTGTTTTTAAAGTCAACATCGATGTACCAAGCAATACTGTAAAAGTGAAATAGTCATTTTCAGTTGTTAGCATAACGAGCATAATTTTTTGACAATTACTTGTGCTCCATAGGATGATATTGACGGTTATCAATTCTCTGAGCTTCACAGCCGGATTATAAAGCATGAGTAAAAGATTTCCAACGTTCAATGCAATGAAAACCACATAAAATGAAACTCTCAACTCAGCTATCTGCAGCGAACGATCCTGTTTTGACTGAAAGAAAATTGTTTCATTTTAGACATTTTTCCATCGAGAAAACATTTTTATCATAAAAACTAATGCAAGTTGAACTCGAGAATGTATTTGTACTCACCTCTCTGATAGTGTCATAGATTAAAATCAAATGATTGTAAACATTCATTACGTTGTACAGGATTGCACCCACTATCCAAAATATATGTGTGTAAGAATGGATATCTTTTCGGTGATTTGGCAATAAATTCGTGAATAAAAGTCCAGATAGATAATCCGAAGCAGCGCAAAGTGCGAGTGTCGTGACATAATAACATAACTTTTTATATCGACGCTCTAGTTTCAATCCGAAAAATTCGCCGTATATTAGGATGGACACTAAGTAAGTGTGGAAATTAAACCGATATTCAGTTTGATTAATTGGAAACGTTTTTTTTTTCTGCATTCAGAACATACCGGTTATCACATTTAAAAGAAACCAACTAAATCCAATCGTGCTTTGATAAGGTCCATCATCATTCTGCAAAATTGTAAGAGAGTTTAAATCAAACGCGTTTAATTAATTCAAGAAGAAACAAACATTTGAAAAACAAAAAAAGGAAGTTGAAAAAATATTACCCAATATTGAATATATTTATATAATAACGATCCGGAAGGAATCGACACGAAAATGAAAAGAATACATCGCAGTAAACGAATCCAAAGTGTTTCGTCTTCATCAAAATCAATTATTGTAGCCATTCAGGAGACTAGATCAATTAAAACTTGTATTCACAAATGCTTTTATTCCGCACAAACTGAACCAATAATAATCTGCAACCGCATTTTATTTCTGCCAAAAATAATTTAGAGTGTCAGTTTATCTGCCCACTATGTTTAGCTGCTGTATCCAGTCTATTTTTGTTGTTTTATATTGGACCATGAAAATGGAAAAGAAAAAATGTAAACAAACGAACAGCTGGTGCGCTTGTTTATCAGATTGACGATTTGTATGAGGCTAAATATAGTTCGTTCTTGACAACCAAAGATTGACGGCTTCAAGTAGCTTCGTTCACAATAAAATTCGGCATAAACACTCATTCACACGATTGATTCGAATTATTTATTACATCGTTGAATTAAGCATTAATCCTGATTGCTTTACTAAATCATGTTGTGTCAATGATTAGAACGAAATTTAAAGATCATCAAATAACGTATTCAAAGGGAAATCTGTGTCATACCCAAAGCAAATACTCGTTAGTTCATCTTTGTAAAAATTATATTTCATCAATTTTCTTCATTACGTTTTTGTTTCATCAAAATTAATTCAAAAATCAATCAAAATTAAAACATTTGAAATGGGATTTTTATTTGATTGGATCATTTGTGGATTCGAAAACCGTTTCACATTCGCCTAACCAAAAATCAAATCGGCATCGGGTGCACCTTTTTGATGTTTATACTTTTGTTGTTTCTGCGATTTTTGCTGACTTTGTCGATTCTGGGCTGGAGACCGTTGATTTTGTAGCAATGATTCTTGATAGTCTTCTTCTTCGATGCGTTCGGTGATATTCAATGTGAGTCGTTTCACTTTTTCATTTTCTTCACGTATTTTCTGCTCTTGTAACCGTAGATTAACGGCCAGTGCACTGTCAGTTGGCGCTGTAAACATTTTGAATTGTTGCTGTTTGCCACCTTTCGATCCGCGCAACATCAATACAAACGGTACCGAGTCTTTTTTCTCTTGCACATTGTCGCTACTTTGAATCTGGTCGTATGTTTTTTTGCCAGCTCGAGCCATCATCGGAACTGGAATATCTTTGCTCGCTTTAACGGATTCACGTAATCGCTCCTGATAGCTGTCAACGTACATTTTATCGAACATCTCTTCGAATTCAATGTCCTCTTGTGTACGTTGTTTCTCACGTGGTTGAGCAGCGGGATCAGGTTCATTCGATGGGGAAAGCTATGAAATGAATAGAAAACAAAATTAAAAAATCGATTTTCGAGACTTGGTTTGAGCAAAAAAAAAACTCACATCATCCATTGCATCGATGGCAGCGTCCGTTCCGTATTCATCATTTTCTGGGCTATTTTCTTCGTCGTCGGTACGACGTTGTCGCACTTCATCATCCGATCCTAATGCTTCGGATGTGTCCTCGGTATAATCGTTATTTGTGTCAGTGTGTTCGTTGCCTTCTTCGGCAATCGTGCCCAAGGCTGATTCCGACTCGCTATTCTCTGAGAATAGATTCGGATACAGTTCTTGCTGCAATTTTGCCACCTCTTCTTTGGCTTGTTCGTAGCTCTTGTACAACTTTAATTTCGGACGAATTGCTAGGAGGCACTCTTTGAAATAGTGATCGGTGAGTATGGGGAAAAGGTCCGAGGTGTTTTCAATACTACTGAAAATCGGATCACTCTTTTTGAACCAGTAATAGTTCTGGAAGAATACCAAGAAATAATCCAATCTGCAAGTAAAAATGTGTAATGAGTAACAATCCAATCAAAGCATGAAATCAAACCAACAGCCACAACTTACTTTTTTCGACTGATCGCACTAGTGAAGTATTGTCCGCATGTTTCGAGCAGCACACATGCTAGTTTCAATCGAAACAGACTCCCGGGTGGATCCATTTCTGACATAATTTCATGATTAAACGTGACGCCAAACGAAATGATTGAATAGAGCGTATTCAAAACGTTAGACGATTCAATCAAGCGGTAATTGTACAATTCCCCAAGATATTTGGCCATTGCGACACGACGTTGTGCCAATTTCGGCGAATGAATTTCCAATCCAGCTCGAATATCTTCGAAAACGGTGTCAATTACGCGAACAATCGCCTTGTCCTGATACGAACTGATGCCACTGGCCAAATCAGCCAAGCAACGAATGTTGTAATACCGAATGTTGTACGCCTTTGATAGGCATTTCACGATGTAATCGTATGTTTCTTTGTCATCCCAGTTCAATCGACGCATGTACTTGATGATTTTATCGACGTTTCCTTTGTTTAACTCCTCGTAAATCAGATACCGAATGTACATTTGCATTGGAGTTCGCACTTTTTGCGTGGCAGCAACACCTTCGGGCGGTTTGACTAAATAGTAGGAGTTTTCGATTTGTGCGACGTGCCTTGAGTCAAGGGCCGACACGGTTTTAAGACGCATCATTTGCTCGAGATAAACGCTGGTTCGCAGACGGCTATCTTTGCAATTGTACAAATATTGGCCGGCAACTTCAAGGAACGCACATGTCATTTCGATTTGGTGATGTTGGAAGTCATGGAGTAAAATTTTCAAACAGAATAGCGCTTCGATTTTTGAATACAAACCGAATTTCGTCATTTCACCAATGAACCGCACCACTTTGATCTTCGATTCGATGTTCATTTGGTTCTTTTTCGCGATGTGATACTTGAATTCATTCTTTAGCTTCTGACACAAGTCGACGGCAACGTCTTGAGATACAAGATTTATGGTAGCAACCAATCGAGCAAAGAAGGGCAGCAAATCCAAACGCGTTCTAAGGACAAGAGATTGAAATTATTCAATTATCATTTTTTTTTTACTTTTTTCATTGTTCAACTTACCTCTTTACTCCAAAAATGGCAGTGGTTAACTTCTTTCTATTACTTTTCGTGTTCAAGTTGAGCAAAAATTCAATGGTAGCCGAATCGATGAGCTCTTTGTTAACGCAATTGACCAGGTTCTTGAGAAACGTTGCAAAATGTTGTCGATTTCCACTTGCGTTCTTTTCAGTGGTCGCTGTCGTGGTTTCCTCCGGTAACACTGGTTCCGGTGTACTGCTTTTGCCGCCTTCGGCCTCGGCCAGCACACTCGATTCTTCAACTTCTAGCTGTTCAGGCACAATATCCATGTCCAATGCTTCTTCAGTCAATGCTGGCTCCTCAGAAACGATCGGATCTTGCATTTTTGGCGCATAATTCGGTAAAAATAATCTCAAGTCAGGCAAATCGATGTAGAAACTTTTCGTTTCTTCATCTCCCCATGGATCCAAGTTGCTATCATTCGAATCGTCAATCATGTCAAGAACAACGCCTCCACTTTGCACTTGCTCGTCCTTTGGCAACTCGGGCAGTTGCTCATTCAATAAATCAGACATGGTTTGAGCCGATGAAAGTAATTTCTCATAGTTTGTTTGCAATGTTTCCAATTTTTCCTTGCGATCCGATGACACTTCGCCCTTTGACTCGAGTATTTTCTTGTGCAACCGCAACGCTGACTGATATTCTTTGTGTTCGGATTTCAGGTGCTTCACCAAACAAGTATAGTAGTCTTTGAGCAAATTTTTCAAGTTTTGCTGTCGATCCGGCGTGAGCAATGTGGATGATGTCAGTTCAATTTTGTATTTCTGGAAGAAATCGAACGAATGAATGGAACATTTGAAAAATCAATCCATGTTTACAATATTCTCTTTGAAGAAACTTACCTCGGACAATGTTAAAATCGATCTAGGCACCAATCCAGCGTATTCTTCTCCGCAGTGTCGACAGAATGACAATACAATCGATAGATTGTTGAAATCTTCCTTATCTTGTGCTATCAAGCTCATTAGAATGGACCCCAGCATTGGAAGCCCTTGTTTATTACTAAAAATTCCGACCGATACCAGTTCAGCGAAAAACTTTAAGTCGACTCGTAGTTTGCTTGGATTTTGAACCTTTTCTCCGGGCTTGAGACTGAGTATCTTCTGCCAATTTTCGAAGAATGCAATCGCAAAATCCGCATAAACCCTATGCAATTCACTGCATAATAAAATGGCCGCATTTACATCGGTCAATTTTAGTTTGGCTTCACTCAGAGCTGAACTGACCTCTGATATGTACTTGGTTAGATTCAGCGATGACATATCCTTCAGCAGCGATTCCAACTGAGCCGTCGTAAACTGCTTGAGTTTCTTTACAAATGCAGTGTTTTTCTTCAAACTAGAATCCAACTTGAAGAAGTATTCTTCGCCCGGTCGAACACAGTTGAGATTTTCATTTCTCAACTTTGTCTTCTGCTCAATTTTCGCTTTCAATTCCGAGATATAAGTATCCAATTCATTTCGTTCTTTCTTTTCGTCATCGATGTCGGTCGTTTCAGCGGCTGTGACATCCGTCACCTCACCTTGTGGTGCTGTTGATTCCGTCGCTGCTTCACTCATTCTCACAAAATCCACTTGGCAATCACTTTTCTAAACCAAATGCTTTGATCTCTATTCACAATAAATGCTCCTGCTCATTTTGTTGACAGAAAATAAATCAGTGGAGCGATCTTTAATCGCAATTTCGATGAATGAAGGAAACTTTTTTCGCATTCGATTATGAACAAATCCAATCGGTTGTGTGTTTACGTCAAAGTCAATTGTGAAACAGCAAAAGCATGCGTCAAAGTGACAGCTGTCAAATGGATGGTTTTTTTTTATAGGGAAAGTCACGGAACGGACGGTTTCAAATGAAACTAATATTTTGTTTAGGAAAAAAAGGAATTATTGAATTTTTATGCTAATTCAAATTTATTGACTGTCTAAAACATCAAAATATTCTCATTTTCTACAAAGAAAATGTACATTTTGTTTTTTCAATGCAATGACACTTGTTAGCCATCCAGGTTTACTTATCACACAGATACACGTGTACTCACGACACGAACCTATCTACAAGCGTCAACTCATCAAACAAAAAGAAGAAACTTTGCAAGTAATATTCCGTAAGAACACCGGCGCTCGATAGTTTTCTTCTTTCCGTATATAACATTTTTTTTATCAATCAAACTTTCTTTTAATGACATTCTAAGTGATAGAGTTAAACAAACTTTAATACGGGTGTATGTATTCATTTGGTTATTCAATATTAGTAGAAAAAAAAATCAATATAACAAAAACTAAATTACTGAGCTCTTCTGACGCAGCAAGCAAAAGCCATGAAAATTTTTAGTTGCTATTGCGATGAAAATCAATATCGATATTTTTTGAAATGTTGTGGCCATGTATCGCATGCAATATCAACAAATTAAATACATTATCGTTAGTCTCATCGCATCGAATAATTCAATTTTACCGTTAGTCCATGAACAAAATGAGAGATGTGTTAGAATGTACACGAAACTGATGGGCGACATTTTTATTAGATTTTTTTATCTTGTGTCAAAAAGAAGTACTGTTAAAAAAAACACTATTACGTGTTCATTTCGACGCATAACTCTTCCGCATGATTAAACCCTTTTGTTCAATTTACAGTAATTTTTCTAAACGTAAGATGAAAATCGTAGCCACAATTTTGTGTGCCGCTGCAATTTTGACAAGCGTCATTACAGTTGATAGAAACAACTTTAAAACATGTGAACAAAGCAGTTTTTGCAGGTGAGATTTTTTTTTTATTATTCGTTGTGAGTTTGACTCACAACTTGTGACAATGCACAAATGAGACTAATTGGAACATATATTTTCGCACCGAAAAGACGATGTCGCAAAGTTGAACACAACAACTCACCATTTGAATTAGTACCAGCCACGTTAAACACATACTCAGATTCGATCACAGCTGACCTTGTCAACAAAAATAATGGCCATATCTTTGTGCTCAAAGTAGAAGGTGTTCAGGTAAATGACTTCAAGTGAATCTTATCGTTTAATGTTCTATTGACTTATGATATTTGTATTTCTTGTTGAGTTTGTCCAGTGCTTGAACGATGTTTTTTATCTGTATTTTTAACTTTTTTTTTTAATAGGGTGATATTTTCCGCGTTACAATCGATGAGAAAACACCGCTGAAAAAAAGATATCGTGTCACCGATGCTTTGAAAGAGCCCGTCAAACCAGATGTGTACGTATAATGATTTTTTAATTTCAATTCAAAATATGTCAACAAAATTAATACTTCTTGTTTAACAGTATCAAAGTGACAGAGTCAAAAACCGATCTCATCGTCACATGTGGACCAAATAAGGCTGTCATCCATGCCAATCCATTCAAAATTGATTTCTACCGAAACGAAGTCTTGTTTGTATCGACCAACGCCAAGGGATTGTTCAAGTTCGAACACTATCGCAAGAAACCAGTGTAAGTTTCTTCTAAATTAATTCGAGAAGAAAAAATTGCTTGAAATTCATTTTATGCTATTTTCTCCCATCGACATTATTTCTTTTTAACATTTTTTTTTCATTAGACCTCCACCTGAAGGAGAAGAAAATAAAGAACAAGAACAACCAAAGGATGAAGTTGATGATGAACCAGGCGCTTGGGAAGAAGACTTCAAATCACATCGTGATTCAAAACCAAACGGACCAGAAGCAGTCGCATTGGACTTTACATTCCCACAAGCTAGCATTCTTTTCGGTATGACCATTTTTCATAAATTTTTCCTTTGTTTTCTCTCTCTTTTTCTTCTTTTGATGTCTATTTACCAAATTCTTGAATTCAAGAAAAATACACCGAAATCTAACATTATTATTTCTTGATTTCTTCTGAAGGTATTCCGGAACATGCTGACTCATTTGCATTGAAATCAACACTGGGTGGTGAACCATACCGTCTATACAATTTGGATGTGTTCGAATACGAATTGGACAATGGCATGGCGTTGTATGGCTCAGTTCCAGTTGTCTATGGTCATGGGTAAGAGTTAATTTAGTTGATTTTTTCAATTCGAACTACTTTTCGCGTGGAACGTCCAATCGAAATGCTGTCATTATAATCTTTAGAACAAAAGGAACCGCCGGTGTCTTCTGGATGAATGCGGCTGAAACATGGGTTGATATTTACAACCGTAATTCAGAAAAGAATGTTTTGTCTTCAATCGTAAATATGGTGTCTGGCTCGGACACTGAACCACTTGCGGCCCATTTCATGTCAGAGAGCGGTATCGTTGATGCATTCATCTTGTTGGGAGAATCACCACAAAATACATTCAAACAGTACACCGATTTGACTGGTGTAGCTCCATTGCCACCGAATGCTGCTTTGGCTTTCCACCAATCCCGATGGAACTATAATGATGAAAAAGATGTTGTTACCGTTAGCGAAAACTTTGACGTTCATGACATTCCCATGGATACGGTAAATTAATTATTTTATTTTTCTAGTCATTTAGTTGACTTTTACTTCTTGAAGCAAATTGACATTTTATTGCATTATTTTGGCAGATGTGGTTGGATATCGAATACACCGATGACAAAAAGTAAGTTTCTCATTAGATCATCCGTTTCTTGTTATATTAACGCATCATATTCGAAACAGATACTTCACTTGGGATTCACGGACATTTCCACATCCATTGGAAATGATTGCAAACTTGACAGCACGTGGTCGTCACTTGACAATCATCATTGATCCACACATCAAAACAACGAACAGCTACTATGTACACAACGATCTTACTGAACACGGCTATTATACAAAAACTAAGGATGGAAACGTCTATGATGGTATGTTTGCAATTAACTACTAAAATATTTGGAACATACCAGATGTTCCCAAATTTCAAACACCAATGTTAAATTTCTTGCTTAAATTAATTTGATAAAACACATTTCTTTTCTCTCAATAGGTTGGTGTTGGCCAGGTGCATCAAGTTATCCAGATTTATTCAATCCAGCCGTTCGAAAATATCTAGCTGACCAATACCTTTTGGAGAACTTCAAGACATCAACTAATGATGTGTTCATTTGGAACGACATGAATGAGCCGAGTGTGTTCAACGGGCCAGAAATAACAATGCCAAAGGATAATTTACATGACACCGAAATGGGAACATATGAACATCGTGTGGTGCATAATTTGTACGGTCACATGCAGTTGATGTCAACTTTCGACGGTCTTGTTCGTCGTGGATATGGTAAGCTGCGTCCATTTGTCTTGAGTCGTAGCCATTTCTCCGGTAGTCAACGTTACGCTGCCATTTGGACGGGAGATAATATGGCTGAATGGGGTCATTTGCAAGCGTCTTTGAAGATGTGCCTATCAGAATCTGTCAGTGGGTTCTCGTTCTGCGGAGCTGATGTTGGCGGTTTCTTCAAAAATCCAAACGCAGAATTGCTGGAACGTTGGCATCAAACCGGAGCCTTTCTACCATTTTTCCGTGCCCACGCACACATCGACACGAAACGGCGTGAGCCATGGCTTTTCCCAGAAGCCACGAAACTTGTCATCCGTGATGCAATTCGTAAGCGATACACCTATCTGCCATTGTGGTATGTGTTGTTCTACGAACACGAACGCTACGGTTACCCAGTGATGAGACCACTTTTGAGCCATTACCCAAATGATCCAGAGGCGTTCGCCATTGACAACGAATTCTTGCTGGGCGACAAACTCTTAGTTCATCCAGTGACACAAGAAGGCGTTACCAAAGTTGATGTGTATTTCCCACGTAACAGCCCAACTGGTGACGGTGATTTGTGGTACGACGTTGATGATTTCACATTATACGATTCAGTCGGTTACGTTACTGTTCCAGTGAATAGCTACAAGATTCCAGTTTATCAACGCGGAGGCGCAATTATACCGAAGAGAGAACGTGTTCGTCGTGCAGCGACATTAATGAAGAACGATCCATACACTTTAATAGTCTGCTTGGATCGATTCAAGGAGGCCAATGGCACTCTCTATGAAGATGATGAAGAAAGCTACGGATACCGCAACGGAAAATACGTTTACTCACAAATTGAGTTCAAAAACAATGTTCTCAGCAGCAAATTGATCGATCCGACTGCAACATTCGAAACATTGGCTTGGATCGAACGTGTCGTCATTGCTGGTTTGGACAAAGCCCCACAATCAGCCACACTTTCAACCTCATCCAAACGTGTCACACTTGATGTCATCAAGCACGAACGTGCATACACCATTCGTAAGCCTGCCGTTAACATTGCTGAAGAATGGGAAATTACTTTGAATTACTAGAATTTTGTTTAGAAACATTAAGTAGATTTCGAATTTTAAATGAAATATCACCGAAAAAAAAAACTGACAAAAATAATGATAAAATAAGTGAAAAACCACAAATTAATTTGCAACCATAGATGGTCACCGAATTTTTTTGTTTTTTTACCATAAAACCGATTTCAAAACATCCATAGTTTATCGTTGGTTAAATCATCTATCAAATATAAATGTGATTTTGTAATTATAAATTGTGTATTTCTGGATACAATAAAAATTTAATAAAACAAAACCTGCGGAAAATGGAATATGTATGTTGCTTTCTTTCATGTTTATTTATTTTCAGCTTATTTCTTATTCTCTTGGTCTTTTGTATGGAACATTTATTGGTTTTGTCTCAGGTTGATGTAATTTTACCGCTGAAATTTACTGGCGAAAATGAAAAAAATGCGGTTGTGTCAATAAAATCTGATTTTGAATTAAAACGACAAAATGGATGGCCTTTTCAGCAACAATATCACTCATTAGCTTTCAAGTTTAATTATTATCACACAAATTATATTCACGATATAAACTTATCTAAAAACGTCCACTTATCAATTAATAAATAGAAACTTTACAAATAGTTTTCCGTCACCATCGTTCAATAGTTTCTTCCGCATGTATATATATATATTCGGCTTTTATCAATTAAAATCAGTATTTCATAGCATTTCAAGTGATTAAGCTGGAATAAATGTGATTCGGGTGTAAGTTCAGTTATTCAATTTTAGCAAAAGAATTAATCCAACAAAACCAATTTACTGAGCTCTAAAGTCATCGAAATTTGTTAGTTGCTGTCGTGGAAATCAATATCTTCAATATTCCTGGAATTTGTTGCACGTTTAATTTGATTAATAGATGCATTAAAAATGTGTGCTCTAAAACGTGTTCATTTCGACACACAACTCTTGCCCATGCTTAACCTGTTCTTTTTTAATTCACAGTAATTTTTTTGGGGATAATCAGTCAAGATGAAAATCATAGCCACAATTTTGTGTGCCGCTGCAATTCTGACAGGCGTCACTACAGTTGATAGAGATCTCTTTAAAATATGCGAACAAAGCAGCTTTTGCAGGTGAGATCTTTTCTTTTTGAGCATATTCGGAACAATGCACGAATGTGAATAACTGAAACATATTTTTTCGTATCAAAAAGACGATGTCGCAAAGTTGAACCCAATAACTCACCATTTGAATTAGTACCAGGCACATTAAATACATTCGACGATTCGTTTACAGCTGACCTTGTCAACAAAAATAACGGCCATATCTTTGTACTAAATGTGGAAGGTGTTCAGGTAAAAATGCCTTCAAGTGGATTTTATCTTTTTATTGCTTAATCTTTTATTGATTTGTGATATTCAAATTTGTTGTCAACTGTGTAGTACTTGAGCAACAATTTATATCGATTTTTTTTTGTTCTTTTTATTTTTTTCAATAGGGCGATATTTTTCGGGTTATAGTTGATGAGAAAACACCACTGAAAAAAAGATATCGTGTCACTGATGCTTTGAAAGGGCCGGCCAAACCACACTCGTACGTATTTTATTATGAATTTTATATTTTGAACTTATAAGTAATTCTTCTGCTTAAACAGCATCAGTGTGACGGATTCAAAAAGCGAGATCATTGTCACATCTGGACAAAATAAGGCTGTTATTCAAGCCAGTCCATTCAAAATTGATTTCTACCGAAGTGAAGTCTTGTACGTATCGGCCAATGCAAAGGGATTGTTCAAGTTCGAACACTATCGTACGAAGCCAGTGTGAGTTTCTTCCAAATTCATTTACAACATTTCTTGAAATTCATTCAATTCGATTTGCTCCCATCGGCATCATTTCCTTTCAATTTTGTTTTTTTCATCAGGTCTCCACCTGAAGGAGAAGAGAATAAAGAACAAGAAGAGCCAAGGGATGATGTTGACAATGAGCCAGGCGCTTGGGAAGAAGATTTCAATTCTTTTCATGACACAAAACCAAACGGACCAGAAGCAATCGCATTGGACTTCACATTCCCTCAAGCTGAAGTACTTTTTGGTATACCGGAACATGCTGACTCATTCGCATTGAAATCAACACTGGATGGTGAACCGTACCGACTACACAATATGGATGTTGCCTATTACGAATTAAACAACGGCATGGGATTGTATGGCTCAGTTCCAGTTATCTACGGTCATGGGTAAGAGTTCATTCGTTGATATAAGAAGGGACTGTTCGCATGGTGAATTTAATCGAAATGCTGTCATTCATCTTCAGAACAAATGGAACCGCTGGTGTCTTTTGGATGAATGCGGCTGAAACATGGGTTGATATTTACAATGAGAAGAATGTTCCGTCTTTGATCGTGTCTGAACCTGACGATGAGCCACTTGCGGCTCATTTCATGTCAGAAAGCGGTATCGTTGATGCATTCATCTTGTTGGGAGAATCACCTCTCAATACATTCAAACAGTACACCGATTTGACCGGTGTAGCTCCGTTGCCACAACATGCAGCATTCGCTTTCCACCAATCTCGATGGAACTATAATGACGAGGTAGACGTTTTAAACGTTAGTGCCAACTATGACGTACACGATATTCCCTTAGATACGGTAAATGCTCATTTCCATTGTATTTTCGTATATGATTGAAATAAATTGACTCATTAATTTGTGTAATTTTGGCAGATGTGGCTGGATATCGAATATACCGACCATAAAAAGTATGTTCCACATTTGATCATCCGCTTTCTAGAATAAAATCAAAAATTATTAACGCATAATTTTTGAAACAGGTACTTTACTTGGGATCCCAACACATTTCCACATCCATTGGAAATGATTGCAAACTTAACAGAACTCGGTCGGCACTTGACAATCATCATTGATCCACATATCAAAGTAACAGACAACTACAACGTGCATAAAGATCTTACTGAACGTGACTATTATACGAAGAACAAGGATGGAGAAGTCTTTGAAGGTATGATCGCTGTCGTTATTTGTTTATTTTTATTAATTCAGAGAACGTAATTTGTTATGCTCATATACTTTAGGTGAGTGTTGGCCAGGTACATCCGGTTGGCCAGATTTGTTCAACCCAGATGTTCGTAAATATCTAGCTGATCAATATCTCTTGGAAAATTTCAACACCACGACGCAGGATGTGTTCATTTGGAACGACATGAATGAGCCGAGCGTATTCAGTGGGCCAGAACTAACAATGCCAAAGGATAATTTACACAACACCGAGATGGGAACATATGAACATCGTGTGGTGCACAATTTGTACGGTCACATGCAGTTGATGTCAACTTTCGACGGTCTTGTTCGTCGTGGAGAGGGTAAGCTGCGTCCATTCATATTAACTCGTAGCCATTTCTCCGGCAGTCAGCGTTATGCTGCCATTTGGACGGGAGATAATACGGCTGAATGGGGTCATTTGCAAGCGTCTTTAAAGATGTGCCTATCAGAAGCTGTCAGCGGATTCTCGTTCTGCGGAGCTGATGTTGGCGGTTTCTTAAGAGATCCTACAAGCGATGAATTGGTGGAGCGTTGGCATCAAACTGGAGCCTTCTTACCATTTTTCCGCGCTCATTCTCATATGGAAACCAAACGGCGTGAGCCTTGGCTTTATCCCGAAGCCACGAAACTTGTCATCCGTGATGCAATTCGTAAGCGATACACCTATCTGCCATTGTGGTATGTGTTGTTCTATGAACACGAACGCTACGGTTACCCAGTGATGAGACCACTTTTGGGCCACTATCCAAATGATCCAGAGGCGTTCGCCATTGACAACGAATTCTTGTTGGGTGATAGGCTCTTAGTTCATCCAGTAACACAGTTAGGTGCCACCAAAGTCGATGTGTACTTTCCACGCAACAGCATAACTGGTGAAGGCGACTTTTGGTATGACGCCGATGATTTCACACTGTTTAATTCAGTCGGTTACGTTACTGTTCCAGTGAATAGCTACAAGATTCCAGTCTATCAACGCGGAGGTGCTATTGTACCGAAGAAAGAAGTGATCCGTCGTGCATCGACATTGATGAAGAATGATCCATACACTTTAATCGTCTGCTTGGATCGATTCAATGAGGCCAATGGAACTGTTTATGATGATGATCAACGAAGTTACGAGTACCGCAACGGAAAATACGTTTACTCACAAATTGAGTTCAAAAGCAATGTTCTCAGCAGCAAATTGATCGATCCGACTGCAACATTCGAAACATTGGCTTGGATCGAACGTGTCGTCATTGCTGGTTTGGACAAAGTCCCACAATCAGCCACACTTTCAACCTCATCCAAACGTATCACACTTGATGTTGTCGAACACCAACGTGCATACACCATTCGTAATCTTGCTGTTAACATTGCTGAAGAATGGGAAATTACTTTGAATTACTAGAATTTTACTTAAAAACATTCTGGAACACAAACAGTTTTCAAATTCTAACCAGACAAAGATGATGATTATAATGAGTGGAGCAAATTAATTATTTTGCAAGTACAGTTGGTCGCCGAATTTATTGTATTGATGGATACGATAAAAACGACTATGTCTGTTGATTTCTTTCATACTTAATTTTCAGCTTTGTTATCATTTTCCCGATCTTTTGTAACTATCTACGGACACTTTTCTAATGAGGAAAAAAAAATTCTTTCAAATTCCCAGTTTGGAAATCTGTGTTTTGGCCATGTGTAAATTTGACCAAATAAATCATTGTGATTCATGCCAATCATTGTGGTTTTCTTACAAACATTTCATGTCGGTAGTCTAACTCTGTCGGAGATCAAATATTTTGCCCGAGTGAATCGTGGAAACGATCCGCAAGGCATCTATAGCTTTATAGATATATTTATTATTTACTTATTGTATATCGTATTCGGTTGATGGATCTGCGGACAAGAGTTCGCGTGCAATGATCCATCAACATGCTGCTCTAAGGCCAGTTACATTTCAATAAAAACTAGGGTTTAAAAACGCGTTATTTTTTCAGTGTTTCCTAAAAACGTTTTTTTACAGAGCCGTTATATAACGCCCAAAAAACGTTTTTTTCGTTTTTATCGTAATTTCTGCGGTATTTTGGACTGTCAAAAAAAAACACTACAGAAAAATAACGTTTTTCTAACACCGTTTGCAGTATTTGTCGAAACGTTTGTAAACCATACTTAAAACTAGTATACATTCTCAATGCTTTAATTGCTTCTCTTATTATTTATTTTCTTTCCATGAATTTTCATTTTCTTTGGATTGCATATTTCCCAATTGAATAATTTAAATAAATTGAGATTCTTTGATATTTTATTTAAAATCGCATTGGAAAATTTAAATATATAATAATTTATGTGTTGCAACAGTTCGAATTTCTCCAGGGATTTTGTTCCATAGCTTTGGACCACCCACTGATAGTGTCGTCAAATGACACCGTGCAGAAAATTTCAACTTTTTTTCGCTCATGAGGATTTCCGGTTCACGGCTTTAGAGGACCACAAATCTAACATTTCTGCATCATTATAGTTTGTCCGGGTCACGTCAAGAAATTTTTCTTATCGACTTAGGTAGGTCTTCCTGGAATCTGTAAAATCAGCAATAGGTCGAAAATTTTCAAATGTGATCCGATTTTGCTGAAAATTTGTGTACACAGTGAGTGAGCCGATAGAAGAACATTGACATTCAAACTGATTATGATGATTGGAGTTTGGTTTTTTTTATTAATTTGTCTTGTGAACGCTTGTTATTTGTGTTTAGATCGAGGAATGAATTGAGATAGGAGGGTGCTGCGTTGTTGATTATTTTAAAAATCATACATGCAGTATAGTATGTCTATATAAATCTACCCATATTTGACGTCACGATTTCTTTCTCCGTCACGAATTTCTTCGAATCGTTAATAGAAAATCATAACTTTCACTATCTGTCGCTGTGCCGTGCACATGTTCTGTTATCGTTTTTTATTGATTTAAAACAATTCATTTTGAGAATCATGTGACCGTGATTATTATTTTCCCATTTATTTTAGAATGACATTGACCAACTAAACGAATGGTGTGGGCTCAACAAGCTCTACTTGAATCTGAAGAATCAAGACGTGTGCAAAATTCGTAATGGTACGGACTCATGATTACACGATAAATGATGGGCTGCACAATTTTGATAGAATCAAAATACACAAGATGCGTAGATAACAAAAACCGAAAAACTGTTTCTTCGAATGAACGTTTTGTTCGGAAATCTCAAGTAGTTTGTTTTTCGGGTGTCTAAGTTTTGGTGGGTATTTTCAATTTTACCTAATGAAAATGATAAAACCAAAACAATGTACATTCTGAACGTTTGATGGACATACTTTGATAAACTTATCTAGTTCACCCGTAAAGCGCAAAAATAAAAACTTTACTCGAAGTTTGTGCTCTAACGTCGTTTTATAACTTCTTCCGCATATATATATAAACACATTCGGTGTTGGTCAATTAAAATCAGTATTTTTGTGCATTTCAAGTGATTAAGTTGAAATAAATGTGATTCGGGTGTAAGTTTTATCTGATACTAGCGGTCCTCGCTAGATTTTTAAGAATTTTTTACAATGAGATATACGAAGTTTTTTACTTTTGAATTTGGTGAATAAATATATAAATTTTCTGGAGATCCTACTCGCGAACATACTATATATAACTGGCCAAGTGAAAAGCATTAATGCTTTGTGACAACAATTGTGTTTCTAGGCCCAGTCCCACAACATTTGATGTTCGACCTTGGGCTTCATTTATTGTCATCGCATATGCCAAACGTACTGGAAATTGTAGTCGTTTAAATTGAAATGATAGATCAGTCGTAGTATTAGAATTTCTTCTCCTTTGTAGTTGCCACTAATTATTGTTGTTTCTAATAAGTTTGGTCTCATGTTTCTGATTATTAAATTTGCACCGTTGCATAATTTCGGAGAATCTATCTTCAAATTCAGAACATGTGGTGGTAGTTCTGGTCTGCAGTTGTATCTGTTGATTAAATTTGTTAACGTTTTCATTTTTTGGACACAAAATTTTTCGTTCACTGAGCCATTCATATTTTGTGTATTTTTTTTTCTTTTTTTTGGAAATACACTTTCTTTTTTGTTGATGGTTGTATTTGACAAAAATTATTTGGCAATGTTATTTCTTTTGTTGTTGTTTCAAATTCAATCAACAGATACATTAAGATTTATAACCGTTTTCATTGGTTTTAAATGATGGATTATTTGAGATATGGATTATTAAAATGAATGAATTCGAAATCAGTACAATTGAACAGAATAAAAAAGTTATTAAAATATTGTTTTTTATAGGATATCTGCAGCATTTGCATTTATGGATCCATAATTATTTGGATGTTTGTTTGGCATGTTATAATTAAATCTTCTGCGAAATCTGAAGAAAACGTGTATCTTGGCATCTAACAAAACGTCAAATTATAATATAATAGCCAATATTTAAATTATTTTTTATTCATTGTACCTTTTTTCAAATGCGAACTGTGTCTTGCCTCGAAACGCTTTTTATAATGATAGAAAATGCAAAGGTCGAATTGATTTTCATTATACACCACAGGCCATAAGTTTGGATACCCCATGAATGAATTTGGCCCAAAATTTTTAAATTTCAAACCGCTTGTCCAATTTCAACATGCTATACGTCGTTGGAAAGGTCTCAGAGAGTACGTATCATTTTTGGTATTAAACATCAAAATCGGCCAGCTTTTGGCCAAGATATGGCTGATTGAAAATTTCGGCCAAAAATTACAAACGGCCATATCTTGGCCAAACGCCGGCCGATTTTGATGTTTAATACCAAAAATCACATCTACTTTTCAAGACCTTTCCAATGGCGTATTTAACTTTTCAATCCGATGGCCCCCCCTCGATTTTGGCTCCCACAGCTCAAAGGCCAAAAGATGGCCATAGGCCGGCCAAATGTTATCTTCCAAATCATCCATTCGGTCAGAATTTCAATATATTTTCATATCCAATACTAAATTTCAAGTGAAAAGGTTCAAAAAACGTAGGAACAAACGTTTCATAGGGGTATCCAAACTTATGGCCTGTGGTGTATATTTAAAAGGTACACATTTTTAAAAAGAAAGGCGAAATAACAGAATAAGTGATGAAGACGTTTGAAATTAAAAAATGGGATATTTTGGGTTTACAATTTTACGTGGACAAACGAACATTGAGTTTTATTTATATAAATCAGCAAAAAAAAGGAAACAACAAAACAAATTTACTATCAATATTTCTGGAATTGGTTGCATGTTTTATTTAATTATAGATACAACAGAAATATGTGCTCTAAAACGTGTTCATTTCGACGCATAACTCTTCAGCATTGCCTAATCCTTTTTTCTTGTTATGTTACAGTAATTTTTCTGGGAATAATCAGTCAAGATGAAAATCGTAGCCACAATTTTGTGTGCCGCTGCCATTCTGACAGGCGTCACATCAGTTGATAGAGATGTGTTCAAAATATGCAAACAAAGCAGTTTTTGCAGGTCAGCCTTTTTCTTTTTAAGCATCTTCAATGACAATGCAAGAAGTGAAACTAACTGAAACATTTTTTTTCATATTAAAAAGACGATGTCGCAAGGTGGAACCCAATAACTCACCGTTTGAATTAGTACCAAACACACTGAACACTTTCGACGATTCATTTACAGCTGATCTTATCAACAAAAATAACGGCCATAAATTTGTACTCAAAGTGGAATGTGTTCAGGTAAATAGCATTGGCGAATCTTGTTGTTTAATCTTTTTTGAGCAACATTTTCTATCGATTTTCGTTGTTTCTTTTTATTTCGTTCTTTTAAATAATAAATATTTTTCTCGATAAGGGCGATGTATTCCGGGTTACAGTCGATGAGAAAACACCCCTGAAAACAAGATATCGTGTCACTGATGCTTTGAAAGGCCCGGTCAAACCACGATCGTACGTATTTTATTATGAATTTTATATTTTGAACTTATAAGTAATTCTTCTGCTTAAACAGCATCAGTGTGACGGATTCAAAAAGCGAGATCATTGCCACATCTGGACAAAATAAAGCTGTTATTCAAGCCAGTCCATTCAAAATTGATTTCTACCGAAGTGAAGTCTTGTACGTATCGGCCAACGCGAAGGGATTGTTCAAATTTG